CGCTTATCTCCCCTCAAGTATTTAAGATTATAGATGGTGGTACTATCTCTTTTTATATATAATTGTCTTTCCCTATGTTTCTTTTGGGAGCATAATTATAGGCTTTTGTTTCACATCTGAATATGCTACGGATTTTAGGGAGAACAAGATGCAACGTGAATACACAAAGTTACTTTTACATTTTGTCTTCAAAGTGAGCTCCCCTATATTGAGCATTTGAGATCAATTTGCTCTTCATTACCCACTGTTTTGTCTGCCTTTACTTTCACATTAAAATATTAATACTGAAGTTAACAATGAGGCATCTAAAGGCTCAACTTTTAAGTATAACTTCCATAGTGCACAAAATACTCATTTTATTTTTCTTTTATGCCTCGAGCCCTTGACTCATGTTAAGAATGCGCACTCTTAATCTTGGCACTATGTCATTTTTTGGCTTATCTAACAGCTTCTACAACGACACTCTCATGCATGGATGCAAAATGGTCACAAATGCTATAGCATATTAGTTTGCGCAAAATAAGTGGGGTTAATGTTGTATCGATTGTGGTTTTCACGTCATTGTGGTACATCTTCAACATCCTATTCATATTGTTGATCAATCTCTAATATGCCATGTATGTATATTCTTTCACAGGATGTAATTTCATATCTGTAACGTACCGTGATGAATAAAGATGGTAACTATTGAGGAAAAAATATTTGATTAAACTACATGAATGGACAATCATTTTCTTTTATGATTAAAATTGATTTTGTGTGTGTAATGGAAGAAAACTCTCATGTTGTCCTACATAAAATAGAAAATAAATAGACACCATTTACTTTCTAAATATCGGTATAAGTTGTTTATATTTGTTATTCATTTCTATATCTTTTTTTATCTATATCAAAAAATTACATATTATAAATGACAACAACAAATGAAAATATATAACAATCAAATTCTCCGGGCTGGGCTGCTAGTTGATTTTTAATCTAAAAATAGATATGTTTTGAAGTCAAAATAACCATATAAGTTAACAATAAGAAACTCACCTAAGAAGAACAAAATGATGGCCCATTAATTAAAGCCCGCCTTAGAAACCGCCACGAGAGTTGGTAGAGTCCGTTACACTTAGCACTCCTACCGGCGAGAGAAACAAAACCTGTACGTTAAAATGAAAGGAAAGGTGGCCGGCCGGAGTACCATATGAAAGCATCATTAAGGACTCGTCGTCGGCACTCGGCAGTTACCTAGCAATGCAGATTAGAAAGAAACACGACAACGACGTACGCAACCAGACTAGTGCCGGTCGCCTATACAAAGGCCAGCGGCATTCAACCCATCTTCTCAGTACACCAAAACAACTCATATTATTATAGCTAATCATGGAGGAGTATAGCTACGCATCTTCTGCTCGCAAAGTAGCTGTTTGGATAGCTATAATTGCGCTCTTGCGCTATGCCTGCTCCGGGGCCGACGCTCAAGCACAATGCGGCAGTTCAGCGCCCACGGACACCGTGCCTTGTCATAATATCTATGGTTACTGCGTGACCTACGTTATCACTGCACTGCGGGATGTAACGCCCAACAAAGACGACTTCACTTACTCCACCATATACCCGCCTGCCACCTACGGTGGCGTTAAAGGTTCCGCCAGTTGTTCCTCAACCGACATCGAACACTGCCAACCGTGTCTCGCTGGTGCCAAGACCGCGCTGGACGACTGCAAATCTTACGCCTCCGGCTCATTCACCGGCGATGTCTGTACCATGTCCTTTGCCCAGTTTCTCCCTCAGGAATGACAGTATATATACTGCATTCTATGGATTCCTACTGCAACACTCTTAATCATACAAGCTATAAGGAACTGATCAATAAAAAGCTTGGTTGGTAACTGAGATTACAATAAAATTTTCATGTTTGGTCACTCGAAATATTTAAATCCATTGGTGATACTTCAGTTTACTGAAACCGTTCACGTTTTGTCACTCTCCGTCCAACTTCGTTAACACTGGCTGATGTGGCAGTCAACTCCCAAAGTTGACCGTTAACTTAGTAACGTAACAATTAAAAAATAATAAGTAAAATAAAACTTAATCACCCATCTCATTTTTACCATAAAATAACGTAGATTCTAAGATTTATTCTCTACATCTCGGCGATACGGAAACAAAGTAGACGAAAAAGGGTCCCATGGCCCAGCTCTATCAGCGGCATCTTGCTTTTCTTATCCAGATTATCATCCAATCAAAAACATGAAGAAGCTATGAAATAAAGGACACCCACCAAGATCGATCCCTATGGAAGATGCCGCTGATAGAGCTGGGCCATGGTGGATGAAGGCTCTCGACAGTGACGGGAGCAGACGGACAGAGCTGGAGTGGGGACTGGGGAGGATGACGGAGAGAACTGTCTTCGATGGAGAGAATGAAGGGTCACGACGGCCGACGGGAGACGGGGAAGAGTAATGTCGTTAATGAAAATAATAAAAATGTCGACGGCGACAGGGGACGACGGAGAGAACCGAGAGAGCGGCCGGAATTGAGACTTCGAAAGCTTTAAGGAGAGAGGGAGAAACCTAAATTTTGAATCGAAGGAGAGAGAGTGAGGCTTAATATTAATTGATTGATTATGTAGGTTAAATTTTGAAATAATTAAAATACGCCAATTATATTATTTTTTATTTTATTTATTTATTTTATGATAAAAATGAGTTAGACATTAAAATAGATTAAATTTTATTTATTTATTATTTATTAATTGCCACGTCACTAATTAAGTTAACGATTAACTTTAGAGTTTACGGTCACATCAGTCAAAATTAACGAAGTTGGACGGAGAGTGATCAAACGTGAACGGTTTCAGTAAACTAAAGTACCATCAATGGATTTAAATATTTCGAGTGACCAAACTTAAACGTTTTTTCTGATCTCAATGACGAACATTCAATTAACCCATAAAAAGCTAGGCCGCCTAGTAACAATAGCATTGTGTTTATCTACCCGAGCACGGTCTGTTGCCATGCACACACTTTCAATTTTCTTTTCAGTGCATTTGAAGTTGTCTATCTATATCTATCTATCTATCTTCTATCTATCTATCTATCTATCTATCTATAAAAATATTAAAGCACTTTGAGAATTCCACCGTATCCACGTAAGCCTTTCTTAAAATATAGCCATCCACGTCATCACTTTAAAATACAAATCTTTTTTTTTTCTTTTTCTCTTCGGCGAACTTTTCACCCTCCGCTCAACCTCCTTTTTTTCGTTCCTCTGTGATCCTCATTCGACTCCTCAATCTGATCGAGGGTTCTACGAGGCAAGTTATGCTCTCCGCTCCAACTTGATTTGACATGTATGTTTACTTCAATTGCAATTTGGAAGATTGCCAATCTGTCTTACGCCATCTGTCATTCACCTAATTCCTTTTTGATCCTTTTCCCAACGGAATCCCAAGTTGGCTTTCTTTCTTATGCTTTGTTATAGATACTAATAACTCTGATTCCAATTGCAAGTTGTATTTTAATTTCTCAACTATCCCAATTGTACATGTTTCTCAACTATTTAGATGTTATTTTCAATACAATGTCGTCCAAAGTGCAGGCGGGCTGAGTAGTTGTTGACAAACTTAGTTAATCTTTGCCTGTTAATCTCTAGGATCGTATCAGAACCAATCGGGTAAAATGCAGATGCATCATAAACTCATAAAATGGTATGTTATGAAACCTGAAATACTTAACTGTAGTCTTTCACTTAGCTTCCCCGGAACACACAGTCCACTCCTTTAATGCTGAAGGAACTCTTATTATTGTATTACTCATTTGCATCTTTAGTATTATCATTAGGAAGCATTACCATATGGCCTATGCTCAGACAAGAGTAGTTCAGTCGACAGTTGGTGCTTTTTCTTGACAAGCTTTTTTATATAGAGATTAATTATCATTCTGCAGACTATAGGAGCTACAGTAAGAAAATTTTGGTCTAGAATGTGCGCAAGTCATACTAGCTACCTGGGCTTCCTAGTTCCTATGCCATGGTTGCATATTTTCTGTTCCTAATGTTAGGGTTGCAATTAATGTTCAATTTCATGTAAGTTCTTCTGTTGGATTGTTTCTTTGCATCAGAGCAAATAATTAACTGGCTTCCTTTAATTTTCATGGTTTTTCAAACTACAGCGAGTTGGTTAATTAACCCAGAAAGGTATTTGATGGTATATTCACTGTGAGTTAGCAATGCTTTTTCTGCATGCTTGGAAAAGCAAAACTATCCATATTCCTTACATATACTATAGATCTTTTGGGAAAATTGCCTTCTATTAGTCTACCAAAAATTGTTCAAACCAACCACGCTCGAAACTCTTTTAATTTAATTAGAAGATCCATTTCATTTGTTGTTTTGCACTAAACTACATGTCTACATCACCCATATGCGTTATTAACATGATCAGGACATGAAAGCGCACAACATAAGAAGGTTTTCCAACCAAAGTGGTGTACAACTTTGCTTGCACACTACGTATACCACCGGTGCTAAAGGGTTCAAAAAGGAAAATAAAACTTGATATTGAGACTAGGGATAAAAATACTAACTTGTGGACCAAAACAACACCAAAAATTACGACAATGGTTGTAACAAGCTCCCAGAGGAAGCTCGAAACTGTATTTCTCCTTAATTCGGATTGAACACCTGCCTAAAGATTGTACTTACATCTATGCTCAAAACAAGATATGTGTATCAAAGATTGCCTTTTTATTCTAATTTTAGTTTTAGACTTTTAAGGATTCCTTTAGTGACTTAAGGTGGATTGTGCACTTACATGTGTATGATTTTTAGCAATATTAGATTCTTTATTCTAACATGTGTGCTACGCATTTGATGGCAATGAAAGGGAAATCAAACATGATACAAAGAAGTGAAGAACATAGGTGTTACTAATAAACAAAAATGTTAGTCCCGGTCGAAGGTCAGGCCCAAAGCTAGTTTCAAATAAGTACTCTTCTGGAGGTATGTTTTAGATTGTTTCAGGTCTGAGACACAAAAATCAATGTATTGTTCTCACATAATGTTACAGTTGAACATCCTTTTCTAAGCAACAAAGGTTACCCTAACAAATGAAGAAACGAAAACCGCGGCTGCATCAAACCAAAATTCAAAATCTAAATCACAGCTAGAATAACATAAATGCATATAACTTCACCTATTCTAGGCCAAGAAGTTGCGCAGAGTCCTGGTTGTACTCCAAAGAATAGCTCTTCTTCCATATTTTCTTGTCAGGAATACAACAATACACACCATCTGCTAGTTCATTGAGGAGGAATGGCTTGGCTTCAAAAGAGTTAATCGCTAGCAGTTCATCGATGAATGCCATGAATGGTTATCTTCAAAAGAGGGATATGCATTCTCAACAAAAAGAATTCTCTGGCTTGAAGATTTCCATGAATGGCAAGAGCCTGGATTCTAGAATGCCATTTTGCCAGCCAGCCTGCTCTCAAGAATCCTTCGGTCAATAGCTGCATCTATGGAACTCATCTGTAACACACAACAACAGAAGAGAATGATCAGTTGATGAACACCAGGAAGACAATTGGAGGTCTCATATATCTGAATGCTTGGTCTCTGCAAAATATACAGAACTCTGCAAAAGAAGCTGACCTGGGCCAAAGTCTGATTTCACTGTTCGGCCGTAAAAAATAAATTGATATATCTTATGTATGGAGAAATTCCGTTGATACTATCTTTGTGCACATCCAACCCCCACAAAGTGAAGCATAGGGAGGGGAAACAACATAAAGGAAAATACATAAAATTTCATTCGAGTAAGCAAAATAGATACACTCTGCTCAACCGAGAATGATGATATGATGGAGAACACTTGAGGAATTCCACCAAGCTTGCCAAAGGGGTAATTACTAACTACCAGCATTAATAAAATGTGTACATGCTCATATCTTCCCATAACTACATGTTGAGTTGGATTGACAAGCAAACCATATCAATACAAGTCAAGCACAAGACCTTGTGCCACTCAACCAACAGGTCGCCAATCAAAAGAAATACTTTATTGACTATGTATTTCTTGATTGAAAGGAATTCAAAGGCAAACAGAAATACCATATGAATAGGAAACAATTCATAACAAATGTTTTTTATCAGAAAACACAGAATGTAAAGCCTACCGAACTGGTCAGATGAGGAAACAATTCCCAAATACTAAAGAGGTAGTCATAACTTACCTGGCTAGTTTCATCATGCACCTGATACTTAGGTAAGGACATTCTTCTTTCCTCCTGCAAGGAACTCGTAGTATTAGGAGAACAAGAATTGAACTTTTAAATATGTTATACACCCATGAAGGTTTTAAACAAAGGGGCCAGCTGACATACCATGGACATGGCTTCATCGTCCCAAACTAAATACACTTCACTCGGCTGGTTAGCAGGAGGAGCTTTGTTAGCAATTACTGGAGGCGGTCCAATAGATGGACCCGCAGTATTTGGACCAGAAGCATAGGAATGTGAACTAGGAAATGCTGAACCAACAATAGACATGGGCAGACAAAATAGTTAGCATAGAATATTATAATAGCTTGAACAACCAAAATCACAGTTTAAGTCTGACAGAACCGTAATTATTATGCATGACAATAGCAGCATTCTATCTTGTTACGTTGACAGGCCAGATTTCATGAGGCAGACTGCAAAAATTGCCAAAGATTCAGCCTTCCTTACCAGTACTTGGTTCACTCCTTGCAGCTGGCTTCTACTCTTTACCTTCTTAATAATAGGAGCTAATTTCAAAAAAGCGAAGATGCAAGGCCAGCAAAAGAACCAACCTGGCAAATTAGAAACCTGGTATCCAGCTGGCATGGTATAATTGTTAATTCCAGAGTGTATATCTGTTTGTCCTCTCAGTTCTGCAGAAGTTCCAGGTGGTATACTAGGGGGCGGCAAAGGACCCGAAAATGGTTGGCTTTGTGGTAAATTGCTGTTAACTACAGGAAACAGAGGCTGCGACACAGGAACTGGAGGTGTGGATGAAGGCAGTCCAGGAGGAGCCACCTGAGCAGGAAGTACGGTTGCAGGTGGCGATGGGCCTAATGGAGCCCTCACATTTTGCACAGGAAACAATGGCTGCTGACCATATCCTGCAGGAGCTGGAGGATGTACAGAAACCATAGGATTCTGTGGATACCAAGTCTGGGGACGTGGAGGAACTGACCAACCTCCAGGTGCACCAGAACTGTAGCTGCAATAAAAAAAAGATGTAAGAAACACAAGTTATTCATATCTTTTGATCGCATCCTCGTAATTGTAGTCTTAACTTAAAAAGATTCTTGAAATGGAATGTTACAAATTTTCGGTTTTTAACAACCAAGGATGTCACCAGGCATGTAACTTGAAAGATAACAGGTTCCTTTTCGAAGAACAGTGCTTCACATAAAAGCCTAAAATGGAACCTGAGAAGTTTTGAATGGACTAATCAAGTATGACTTCTTTTTTTTTTTTTTTTTTGGATTGCAGGGCCAGCCTTATACCCCATAATTGCTACCACTTTTTGGGAGTTTCCAGCAACTATTTAGAGGCAGAACACTATCTTCCAGACTTTCATGTCCCTAGTGAACCCTATGAATATGAGTTATAAAGACCGCTAATGTCAGACCCATGACTAGAGAGCTACATATGATGGATTCAATCAAACAAGGAAACATAGTTGAAGGGGAAATTTTTAAACAAGCGTCCTGTACAGAGCCCAAAAAATCCACTCAACCCCAGAAATACTTATGACGATGGGAACAGGAAGGCTAGCACCCAAATCACAAAGGCATGAATATGTGAAAGTGAATGATAAGTCAATAACAAAAGTATGAAACTTACACTGGGGGGCCCGGGCCTAAAGGTCGTGGACGATATCCAAGAGGCAATGAACCTGGAACCACATATGGAGTAGAAGGAATCTCCACCTTTGCAGCTTTAGATGGAGCTTCATCATCTGTAAGTGATTCAGTGATCATCAGAAATTACATCTCTAACAGCACAATTAGCAACTCCACAAGTGGAGGCATACCAAGTAAATCATCCCGAGGAATTTGGGATTTCTGATTTTGAAAGAAGTGCAGCCACAATCTTACCATCTTCTCCATAGTGAGCAGCCAATACATCAGGCGGAATTCCTTGCATTCCGTATATTTCAATATCCGTTGCTTCTCTTCCAGGTTTTGCATTGGGAACTCTGGGTCGAAGACGAACAGTGCATTAGCACAAGAAGTATATTATTCAAACGAATTACACGAAGTTAAAAGTTTTAAGTCCTTTAGAAATATCTGCTGTGCTCAGGAAAAATTGGAATTGAAGAATTTAAACTGCCAAGTGCCAACAAACCCAAAGTCAGTAGAACGTAGTATTGCTATTCAGTCTTCACAGAAGACCAACCCTACTTCTCGCCCTTCCATGTCTAATAACACGTTTCTAGTGGTGTCCCACCCATGTCTCAACATGAAACAGAATGGCCATCGAGGTACCAGTACACGGAACCCTGCTATATGAATTCTAAAATTCTAACTTTCCCTTCAGAAGAGAACCTAGTACTAGTAGCAGTCTTCTGTGATTCTGTCTAACCACGGAAAAAGCAAATGCTCGGAGCGACTAGCGAGAGCAGAAAGGGCATTACTTCCGTTGGGAAAAAGACACAACAAGAGAACCGCAGACATATCCTATTCAGAAGGTGAAATCTTTAGACGTAATGAAGCTGAATAATGGCAAAAGAGTGAGCAAAGGAGAGGGTTTATTACTTGGTGACGGACTCCTTGTGGACCTGAAGGACGTGAATGGTCATTCCGCCGGCGGTGGAGAGCTTCTTGTGGCAGACGTGGCACTTGAAGTGCTTGGCCTTTTGATGCTGGACTAGGATCTTCTCATCGTCGAATTCGCGATCGCAGTAGTAGCACCAAACCTTGGAAGGCGCTCTCTTCTTCTTCTTCCCCATCTTCCGAGCGGCCGCCTCACAGCTATTCCTCCTCTCCTCTTTCTACCGAGGCTTGGACAGACGAATCTTGCTCTGTTCGAGCTCCCCTAATTCTTCCGCTGCGGTACCCTCCGCGTCCGGTTCCGGGGGAATCTAAGGGAACCCAGAAACCAGCTGATTGGATGATTTCGGTTTTAGGGTTTCGCCTTGTCGATGGTATGTGTCCCTTATCGCTGGTTCGAGCAAGCCGCGTCCTATTATCGTCGTCGGTCTAAGACTAGTGAGTGGTAACCCCTTTATATTATTAGGTAAATCCCGGCTGCCTACGTTGAAACCCACCCGTTCCCTATTTAGTTCGGACGCTTTAAACGACCCGCCGTTTTAGGTCTTAAGAGTGAAATATACGTATCTTGTATGATTAGAGCATACTATTTTTAACAAATTTAATTGATTATTTCATAAATGTTAGTAATTTTCTTTACTTCTAAAGATTATTTTGGTGAACTTTAAGCATATAATTAGCCCAAATGGCATATACTTAACATAAGCTTAAACATATTCACAAGCTTACAGTTACAAGCAAGCAAGCAACCAAACATCGTTTAAATACTTATACATACTTGGTCCTTCAAAACCAAAATGTAGCTCGCTGTGTCCCAATGGGTGGTACGGTGTTTAGGGAAAAGTCAACTTGGCCTCAAAACCAACGGCATTGTAACAGGCAGCCTAAAAAACATGAAACAGCAAGGATGCCAGGACAACTTCTCACAAAGTTGAGATTTAAGAACTGATGTTCCTTACTAGTGTGATTCTACAGCCTGCTGACCAGACACCAAGAGCATGTTCTCTTCTCTCTACAAGTTCATATTTCGTTTTCCTATCATTCTACTCTTCCTTCTTCGAGGACTCTGGAGAATCAACGGGTTTATTACCAGTGAGTTTCTTTACGCTGTCTTTGGCCTGAGCGACGAATGCAGCATCGGGCTCGTGTTTATCCACAGGTTCCTTCAGCGCCATGCAAATGTAGAATGCGATGACGATGTTAACTGATACGACAGCAACGAATCCACTCACCAACGTCAGAGAATGTGGGGACATCTGGGTTATACCTGTTCCGGAATAGAATGTCAATGCAGGACAATGTATGGTCAAGTAGCTAAACTATTTCATCATCAAACAGAAAACAGACACAAGACCATATTTTGCATCCAGAAACAATCAAAATCCCCTTGCTTCACATGTACTGAAAACGAGTTTTCCTTTTCTCTTTTCTCTTATGGGTGGCATCAACATGAAATAAACAGCCAGACTACTCTTAGTACTACAGCCAATGGGCATGGTAGCATGCCCCTAGTACTGTATTAGTTTCTGTACAGTTCAGCTAGTAACTATATTCGAGGCTGTAGTTGATTCTATTAACCAATGCTCTTCTCTAAGGAGTAGACCAGTAGTTTGCCAGCAGAAAATGAGAATGGCTGGGAGAGTACTGGGGTAGCATTAGCTAGTCAACAGTTCATTGACTACAGCAAGAAAATTCAGCTAATGTTAAGCGCTTATAAGTGAAAGGTGTAGGCCCAAACCAGCAGAGAACCCAGGCTGAGGATGGTTGATCATGTAGAGAATTAAATAGAACACCCGTGCAAGCAATGGGTACACTGTACCCTTTAAGGTTTTGTGAAGTGTAGCAGTAACCTATGGCATCTTAACCAAGCAGAAAATATTCCTCCAAGAATGCAATCTAGAAACTATACCAAGTGCACCTGCAACCAAGAGTTCTGCACCCATCAAGCCCATTAGCTGTGCTGAAGTTCCTTGACCCTAAAGCTTATATTTGCATCATTCTCTACTCCATTCATCTATCACACTGAATCTTGCAATTCGCAGTTTTTACTATATATCTTGCCATTTGGTCAGCTCCGAATATTCAGAGTCTAACCTTTTGATTTTCAGTTCAAACCTTCATATTCACATAGACCAAGCCCAACCAGTAGGCAACTTTGCAGCTTGTTTCTTAGGTTTGAGAGCTTTTACGGTAAGTCTCCCATTTATTAGCTTTCAATAATCTCCCAGCAACAAAAGAAAAAGGCTTAACCATCCAGGGATGCTCCACAATCAAACTTCCACGTGTTCAGCTAGAAATCCTGGTTGACTGATGTCCTTCCTTAACAGATATTGATGTGGTTCTCAGACACTCTACCTAGATTCCGAACTCCTATCGTGCAACACTTAAAATTTACCTTGTAGATGTCACTAAACAATCCAGCTATACCACACTAAGTTAGCCGAGAGTGAGTAGCTAAAAAGGGACTGGTCTCTATCATTATTATATGAACTCATGTTGTGCTAAGAGACGGCTCAAAATCTCAGTTGTGAAGTGTTACTTTGCAAATCACCCGTGTTCAGTAAAGGTAAATTACGGTTCCAATCCAAAACTAGAGCCCTTTAGATCAATTCGCAAACTCAAAAACTTCCAATACTACCATACTAGATCAGTAACTTCTTCGCCACTAAAACATCCACCTTAGTATGTTCTATAGCCTGATTTCAAGAGAGCACAAAATTGATCTAAAAAAGCCCTCAATCACTTTGTTCTCATGCAAACAACTTTAATGCGAACTGACACCCAGATAGACAAGTTCACCAAAACCAAGCTCGAACAGTAGGCAAATTTGCAGCTTGTTTCTGATGGTTGAGAGCATTTCCGGTAAGTCTCCCATTTATTAGCTTAGCTAACAATAATCTCTCAGCAACAAAATAAAAAGGCTTAACTGTCCAGGTATGCTACACATTCAAACTTCCATGTGTTCAGCTAGCAATCCTGGTTGACTGATGTCCTTCCTTAACAGATATTGATATGGTTCCCAAATACTACCTACATCCAGAACTCTTATCTTGCAACACTAAAAAGTTACCGTGTAGATGTAAATTAACAATCTAGTAATACAAAAGCGCCAAGTTAGCTGATAGTGAGTCGCAAAAAGGGACTGGTCTCCACCATTATGATATGGCATAAATGCTGTGCTCAGTGACAGCTCATAATCTCAGTTGTGAAGTGTTATTTCGTAAATCAACTTATAGTTCAAATCCAAAACTACATCCCTATAGATCAATTCGCAAACTCAAAAAGGTCCAATACTACCAATATCATACTAGATCAGTAACTTCTTCGCCACTAAAACATCCAATCTAGTCTGTCATATAGCCTGATTTCAAGAGCACACCGCAGAATTGATCTCCGGACAAGTTTACCTAAACCAATCTCGAGTTTATGGTTACCTACGGAAACTTAATCGACCAGAGACAAATTCCCTCCACAATCACAAACAACACAAGAAAGCAAGCCCGAACCTGACGACGAATAGAAGAAAACAATAAAATTGAACAAGAGTGAAAGAAAAGAAGCTTACCGGGAAGTAAGTTGTTGTTAAATGCATACAGGATCGCAATTGGAGCCATCCACAGGAGCATTGAAGTGATGAAGAACTTCTGCACCACTCCTGCCATTGCTGGTCCCTTACCTTTTCCAAACCAAATGCAGACCGGAAGCCAAGTTCTGAAGAAATTTGTCAGATCACGAACTAATCGACTGAACCAAAGCAATAGTTGATTGGAAGCAGGAGTACGTTCAGTTATCCGCAAGGACTTCCACGAACAACTGTGCGAACTGGCTTGGGGATGTCGGATTTTCAGAGACGGCGAACAGAAAAAGAAGAGCTGAGGAATTCGGCGGTTGGGAGTTGAAACCTCGTCCTGTTGTGAACAGTGGACGTTGAGTACTTCACGGTGGAAGCCAGAGGGAGCTCGTCGACGGACCTAATGGGAGATTAATTGACAGATCCCGGCTTTGCAAGTTGCAATCCCTATCTCGCAGACAGTCAGGACATCACATATTTGCTTGGGCCCAAACCCCATTCACTGAACTAGGATCATGGATGTCTATCGCAAGCTTAGGGGACGAATTCGGTTTGCTTCCTCTGCATGTTTAATGGGCTAGGTCCGTCTTGTCTGGGTCCATGATCCCAACTTCAAATACATGCATGATGCATTCAAAGAGGAATAGTTTTTGACAAAGGGGGACTTTATTGGCCTTAAAATTAAAACTGATCAGTTATAAAGATGGTGAACGAACCAATAATCTGGTTCCAACAAGAGGAAGATCAAGGGCATTCGGTTACAAATAAAGTTGTGTAAGACAAAATGCAGCAATAAAGAACAAAACACAGTCTGCAAGCAACCACCCAAAAAGAGCAAAACCCTTGACCGAAAACAGATCATCAAGGATCTCTCTTGCAAACAACCAATCAAAGTTCAACAAAACCACAATCAGCTTGTCCGATCATATCGAAATCCATGGTAAGTGAACATCATCACTCCATGTGCCGCCTCCTGGGGAAAACCCAAAGGCATCCATCACGGTGAATCTAGAAACTAGACTACATGGCGGTGAAAGAGGATATGAACCAGATTGCTCCAAGCTGAAGAGGCAGAGGAGGCCGAGGCAGAGAGATCAGGTTCGAAGAAGAGCAGAAGCTCCCAAGGTAGCCACAAAAACTCCACGGAAAACACCTATCCCAACCGCAACCACTAGAGAAGACCCAACCCATCACCATCCGACGGCTCACTAAGCCACTCAAACACCTAGGGAGGTCGGAGAGGGAAAGAAGGGAATGGCTTCACCTTGAAGATGAGGCCACCAACGAGGGACTACCCCCACCATCCAGATCTGGAAGAGGCTCCCAAGTTGGAGACTCCATCTCCTATGACGAGCAAGCCCAAGAACAGAAAACATAGATCCGAAAGAAGAGCCATAGCTCGATTGGAAAGGAGAACACTGAAAGCCACAACAGCTGGAAATCCGATTGAAAACTGCCCAGGACACAGGCAAGAGAAAAAAAGCATGATAAAGAAACAAAAACAGGAAAATAAAATTTTGGGCTACCGCCGGTCACCTAAAAGGAGCCGGCGGCAGCCCCCGAAAACTGAAAAGGAAGACTCAAGAAGAGAGAAGGCAGAGCAAATTTCAAAAAAAAAAAAAGGTAGAGAGAGAGTCTTAGAGTCTTCAGCAAAAATTAATTAATGGGGGAAAGTACATTTAGTGAGTTCCTATGCTATATTTTAAAGTTTTCAAAATATTTGAAATGTGTATGTCTACCCAATAGCTAAATTAATTGTTAAAATCGAATTAAAATTATTAAAATATAAAAAATGATGTATCAAACACCTAGGAAATACTTACAGGGAGTTAGTGGACTAGTTAAGCTAACTGTATGCAGTGGAAAATTCATCTGATTTTAAGATTTTAGCTTTCTGTATGTTTTTAGTTTAAAAAGATTAATTAAATTTGTTTAGTATAATTGGTAATGATGCATGTTCGTATTTAAAGAGACCATAATTCAGATCTCATTATTAATATAAGGCAAAATACACTTTCATAGCCATAACTATTCGCGTTGTGACAAATATAGCCACTTTTTGAAAAATACACTTGTATAGCCATTCCGTCCAAAACTTTAACGACAATATCTTAAATGCTGACTGTACTAACGTTTTCTGGTGATGTGGCGATTTTTTTGTTTAAACCAATCCTAGGTGGAAAGTTTCCTTTCTTATTTTATTATAATTACAATAAAAAGTAAAAATAAATAAAAATGAAATTCCGAACTTCATCATCTTCTTTTCCCCTTCTTTCCATCTACCCAACCCAGGAGGCCCATCACGATTCTCTTCCCCGTTGTCCATACATCCCGTCGGCTATTGTCGATTGAGTTTTACCCAGAGTATTCTATCTCACTTCTCACTAAAACCCCTCCACCATCACTCCAAATTGAAGGCGGCACCCACAAGCTCATTCCCCTTAGCCTAGTGAACAAGAACATGAAGAAGGTCGAGACCGTCGGCCAGGCGATCGACGACATCGGTGCCACCGTGTGGAAATCCATGGCCCAGATCATCTCCCACGATAGAGATCTCTCCAATGCTTTTTCCCCTGATTATGATTCCGATTCCTCCAATAACGGCGGCGGGGAGCGGGGCGCGTCTTTGTCGTCGAAACCCTACAATAGGTAAGATGCGCAATTGCTTGCTATGCAGAGCAAATTGAATACCTACGAGATTGCGGAGCTCCGTTGTGGTCAATTAGAGGGCAATAGAGCTGGAGGGAAGTCACGTCGGCGGTGGGGAAACTAAAGGAGAATCGATGCTGTAGATAGACAAGAGCAGAACAGAGCTGGGGTTTCTTCACCTGTCGGCAGCGAAAGAGAAAGGGAGAAATGAAGGTCGCGGCTGCTCTATGCCTCTCGGCTTGGATGGAGAAGCGATGCGGTCGATTGGAGGTGGAATCCTCTCCGACGAAATCGTCGATCTCCGGCCAAATCCTCACCTTGATGGCGTTCACGGCAACCGCTTGTCCTCTTTCATCATTGTTATTGACTGGGGACGGGTTAGGTTGTGAGCAACGAAATTGATTTCGTCAAATCAAGGAGAAGAAGAAGAAGAAGAAGAAGAAGAAGAAGAAGAAGAAGGGAGCTGATGTGCAGGATTTTTGTGGTCTCGATTGGATTTTGGATCCGGATGGCGGAGGTAATTAGCGAGGAGAAATTAAAGGGGAACTAGTTAATTATATAATAATTTTTTTTAATCTGTTGGTGGAATCCAAGTCAGCGGTGACGTGGGCAAATCGAGTCTAGTTGGCGACGACATGTCATCCAGGTGGAAGCCATGTCACTTGGCGATGACGGCATCCGTGATGACTTTAACGGCAGTAACAGAAATGGCTATAGTTGACATTAAAGTTTTACAAACTTTTAATTTTTGGCTATACGAGTGTATTTTTCAAAAAGTGGCTATATTTGTCACAACGCGAATAGTTATGGCTATGAAAGTGTATTTTTCCTTAATATAATTTTAATAATCTACCAAAAAAATATATTTTTAATAAATTACTATAAATATAAATATAAATCTACTCTTTTCACTTTTGCTCTCTGGTTAGAGGACTATTGGGGATGGATATATGCTAGCTATTAATTGTTGCTATTTTGTATTTGCAGCTGCAAAAGTTTAGTCCATGTATCTGGTTGAAGAAAGAAGTTCCAACTAAAATTGAATGTAAAAAAAATTTCTTCTTTATATTGTAAAAAATAATGGAAACAGATCAGTATAGCTATTCAACAGGGACTAGAGCTAGTTTGGAAATATTGTCATTGTGAGTTATCTTGAAGTAAGCTTTTAGACTGGCCAGATATACAAGAGGACCAGATCCTTGGAATCCTATGTCACTCTTTTAAATGTTGTTCACATAAAACTAGCTTAAGAATGGTTAATTCGTAACATTTATAATTATACGTATCTCCTAACAATACTTTATAGAGAGATTCTTGTCAGGAACCCCCTTAATCTCCCTTTTCCTATTCTCCGAGCAATCCACGGATAGACCCTTCAGTCTTTCCCCAAGTGATTTAGATGGGCCTCTAATTATTGAAGCAGGCGGAAGAAACAGAGGTGTAATGGGCTAGCCCTCTACTTATTTCCAGGTACCCTTTCCCATCGAGCTTGAATTCAATTAATTTGCATCCATGTACCAACATCATTGTAATTAACCCGGATCGATAAGCATAGTTAGTAAATACTTTGTTTAATACATGTATATGTATCCGTACGTATTTTATTTGTTTAAAAATTTTGTATTCGTATTATTTTCAAACTATTTAGTTTTTTCTGTTCATTTGATGACTCCCGTACTAAACACATATAAAATCCGTATAACACGATTAATATTCATATTTAATGAATTAAATTTTAAACTTTACTATTATTTATATATTTTTAAAATAATTAATTTTTGCATATTTATGACTATTAACGTACTAAACGTAACATTAATTAGCTTAAAGACGAACTAAAATATTCGTACGTATTTTATACATACCTTTCTCATATCGTATTTTACTAACTATGCTGATAACTACTTTCTCCTATTCGGAGCGGACCTAGGTGCGGGAGAGGGTACACTTTCTCTTCAAATTTTGGTGAAAACTTCATGTTTCGTCATAATAAAATTTTGAACCTATAATCTTTGTCACACCTTTAAAAATTATAATTGACACATATGATGCAAGTGCAAGCTGTGAAAATACGTTTTTTACTATGAAGATAATCAATAATGATCTTCAAATCGGATTAGTGACCAATCTATAATGATCGTTGGATTACATACATTGAAAAATATTTGAGTTGAAAATAATCAATTAATTTATTTCACAAACCTCTCATAATATAAATTCGACTCAATGTAAAAATCAATGAAAATGTATACTTCATAACTTAGATTTTTATTTACATTTGATATTGTTATTTTTATCGAATGCTCTTACTGACATACTTAATCCATATATTGATAATTTTTTAGATTACGAATTATTGCATGCATTCTTTCTTTGTCATTGTCACTCCTATTATACTTTCTCTTTATGGTTCCTATTGTCCTACTAATGGCCCATTTACAATTTTCTACGTTCTAACATGTTAGTATGTATTAGTAGTAGAAATTAATCTTTTCAATTCCTGTATATTCATGATTTTAAGAGGATTAAATTGCATTTAAGTGCTACAAATCTTCCATTGTGATTTTAAATTTAATTTCCAAATTTTATTAAGAACATAATATGCATAGTTAGGTATGATAACATCCTTATTTTAGAAAGGGACGAATTCGGTTTGCTTCCTCTGCATGTTTAATGGGCTAGGCCCGTCTTGTCTGGGTCCATGATCCCAACTTCAGATACATGCATGATGCATTCAAAGAGGAATAGTTTTTGACAAAGGGGGACTTTATTGGCCTTAAAATTAAAACTGATCAGTTATAAAGATGGTGAACGAACCAATAATCTGGTTCCAACAAGAGGAAGATCAAGGGCATTCGGTTACAAATAAA